ACACAACCTTTAGCAAACCTTTGCTGAGAAGCTACATTACTTGGTAGATTTCTTTTCTTTTTTTAAAGCATCTAAAAATGTATCAGCCATGTTGCAAATTAATATTCTCCTTGGTCCACTGAGAGATCAGAATGAAAATGAGTATGCATTTAAAGTGGGAAAATCCAATATTTGTAGGGTCAGGGTTGACAACCCGGCTTCTCAAACTTTCGGGGAACCACACAAAGCAGAGGAGACAAAAAAGTTGTTTTAGCATGATTTTTCAAAATGGGGAATCGTTAGTGTGGGAATATTCCTCTGGAAGATATACAGGTAGTCCTCAATGGACAATCACAATTGAGCCCAAAATGTCTGTTGCTAAGCAAGACAGTTGTTAAGTGAGTTTTGCCCTATTTTACGACCTCTCTTGCCACAGTTGTTAAGGGAATCCCTGCAGTTATTAAGCCAGTAACACGGTTGTTAAGTGAATCTGGCTTCCCCATTGACCTTGCTTGTCAGAAGGTCCCAAATGGGAATTAACACTTGACCTGGGATACTACGACTGTCATGAATATAAGTCAGTTGCCAAGCATCCAAATTTTGACCATGTGACTATGGAGATGCTGCAACGGTCGCAAGTGTGAAAAACAATCATAAATCACTTTTTTCAGGACTGTGTAATTTGTAAGGACTGTGTAATTCACTTAACAAATGGGCCAATTCGCTTAACAACCATGGCAAAAAGGTCATAAAATAAAGCATGACTGACTTAACAACCGCCTTGCTTAGCAATGGAAATTCTGGAACATTCTACCTGTACCTCTTCCCTCACATCATACTTATGGCCTGATTGTGGGTACATTCCAAATTTTCTTTGATGAGCCTTATTTCTAGGCTCCTCCATTTTACTTTTCCAAAGCAAATGTTGTGTCTGGAATGTAAAGAGCAAAATTCTGCAGTCTCCTCAAATGTCAAGCAGTATTATCCAGGCTTTATTTTAGTTCTCCTTGCAGCTCAAAACTCCGTAATTCTTTAAAAGGCTTTTTAAATCCTTCCTATTACTAGACAAGGATTCTTTGGGTTTTTGTGATTTTTGTCAGCCGTCCTTCTTAAAATACTGATTTGCTGTATCATGCAATCAAATTGAATCCAGACTGAGTCATAGCAGGATGCATGCAGCTCAAGAGTGTTTTGCTTAAATTACAATTTGTTAAGCAAACAACAGTGTTGGTACCCACACAACATGCTAAAGTTTACACACTACAAACCACACCACAAACCCATATAGCTGAGTTCACACATTGCATTATATCACAACCGAATAAACCACGTTGTGGGCTTTCCATACTGTAATTCACCCTAAAGGGACCTTAAATCATCACTAATAAATCTTACTGATAATAATAATAATAATAATAATAATAATAATAATAATAATAATAATAATAATAATAATAATAATAATAAACGTTGGAAGGGACCTTGGAGGTCATCTAGTCCAGCCCCCTGCTCAGGCAGGAAACTCTATACCATTTCAGACAAATGGCTGTCCAGTCTCTTCTTAAAAACTTCCAGTGTTGGAGCATTCACCACTTCTGGAGGCAGGTTGTTCCACTGGTTAATTGTTCTAACTGTCAGGAAGTTTCTCCTTAGTTCTAGGTTGCTTCTCTCCTTGATTAGTTTCCATCCATTGCTTCTTGTCCTGCCTTCAGGCGCTTTGGAAAATAGCTTGACTCCCTCTTCTTTGTGGCAGCC